TAGTTCAATGATGCTTTTTCAGTTAAACAATAAAATGCATCTGGAATCCTACTTTACCAATCTAGAATATCCATATTCTATACAACGTTATGTAATTTGCCTGACACCTTCATCCAATATTTGACAGGGAAACGTAGCTGTGAGATTCAATATTAAGAAGTGACTATTTTCAGTTATATAACAAAAAAAAAAATTAGATTTAAGTTACATCTGCCAAAATAGACAGGTCTGTATTTGGATATGTGATGCACTGTAGTTTTGAGTTCATCTACTTAGTACTGATAGGAAGGTATAAATTCATGCAGTTGCAATAATATGGTTAGACTTGATCAAAAATAACCTCTTTGAAAGGCCCAGATACCATGTCCAGGAAGTCAATAATCATCTCTAAACTATCTTAGTTTAGTCTAGCACTAAGGAGTATACTTTCTACTTGGTTCACCACCACACCATTCCTTCACAAAATATTCGTATTTTGTGAACATGAATTAAAAGAGAACTAGACATCTAGGTCTTCTAAATGAGAAGTCCACCCACAGACCACTGAGCTGGCAGTAAGCACTCAGACCTGGCAGCTCCTGCACTCTAGTACAGAATTTTCTCTATCAGTGAGATAATAAACTAATAGGAAAACACACTCATGGTCCCATACACAGCCACAAACATATATGTACATCAATAAATGTACAAAATCATGAGCTAACTTTCTTCTAGGAGTTTTGTGAGATTCATTTTTGTTTCCATTTTTTAATATACATTTATACCTCTACTGATGAGCAGAAATTATGTTAGAAGACAGGCCACAGGGAAGCTGAGAGATTGTATCAAATCCTAGAAATCTAAGAAATGTTTTATACTGGATGCTCTTTTCCTCAGGAATTCAGTACTAATATGTTTCACCAAGGCTAGAATATGCTGGGAGAATTTTGGAGGAAACCAAAATGTTATCAATGTTAATATTAGTACTATAAAATCTATATTTATATATAGCTTTAAAAAAGCTATTTTTTAAGATCTGTGGATTCATGCAGTTCAAAAGGCATTTTTTATAGCTAGGGTATTTTATCTCTGGATAAAAATAATTTGAAACATTTAATATATATCCTAAGCATCAAAAAATTACTTGATATGTAATGAACAGTCTCCTAAAACATCACTAGATAATTTAGCTACATAGATCTTTCCTTCTTGTATCTTTAAGAAACCATCCCTAACATGACCCATAAAACCCAGTTACCTCTTACCCAAATCTTATGCTACTCAAGAGAGTTGGGTTTTTGTTTTGTTTTATTTTGTTTAGGTTTTTCTGTCTAAAGCAACACAAGGAATTACAAGCAGAACTGCCAGATATAACATGTGAGAAAAGAAAAACAAAGCGTTCTTTTTTGTAGGTAACTTGAACATATGTCGACATTGTCAGTGTCCTTTTATTTTTCACTTTATCTTTTACAATACTTTTTAATTCACATTTGCTTTTTTCAAATATATCTTTTTTTCTTCTTTGTTACTTGATCTGAAGGCAAAAATAATTTTGGAGTAAGGAACAGCCATGTTTTCTTTGGGCTTAAAGATACACCTTGGGAAATCAGCGGGAGCTGAGACCCAACTTGTAAATGCGCAAGCTGTCAACCACAGTATATCAAAATACCCTTGTGAATATTATTCTGGCTAGATATAGACTGCATGTTTTTGGAGCAATTATCTATTTGTTTAATTATTATTCATAGTACATTTTTTCCATAAAAAACCTTAAGTCATTTGTTCTGAAGATACCACTTATGCGCTCAGGAGCAAATTACACTGTGGGATTGGTTTATCACAATAAACGTGCCAGGAAAACATTTTGCACGAGGCAGTGTCCTCATGTAAACTTGGTCCTTTGTGATAATTTATTATGATGGAATTTTAAAACATCGCTGTCTGATCTGAGCTTCAAAGACAACATGTCTTGAAATAGAATGCAACGTATTGGATTTCTGTTTTCTGTACCACTTATATCTGTTACAGAAAAACATTTTTTTTTTTATTTCCCAGCAAAGGTTATAATCATAACCAGAAATTAAAATACTGAAATTCATTAAGCACAGAACCTGAATTTGTTTTCATTCAGGCCAAGGTTGCAAAGAACTGCAAGGACAGTTTTGCATTTGAAATTACTTACACCAACATTGTTATTGCTTAATTATTGGTGGATATGTTTTATGTATTTTGGCCAAGTATTCTGATACTAAATGATGTTACCTCTGATATCTACTATCTAGGAGCATTAAAAAACCTGCCTTGCCCTTTGTGTGGTCCACTGGCTGTATCAGAGCCTGAAGACCCTAGTTCACACTATCTAAGTTGGTGCCTAAATGTCAGTTGCACACATCTGAAAATAAAATTCAGGTAGGTGCATTTGACATGAAAAACTGATCATAAAATGGTGATGCAAGCTTTAATATGCAGAACAGTCTACACAATAATCTTCAGTTTATGCTTGTCCATCAAAACTTACTAATGTTCAATTAAGAATGTGAATAGAAAGTACAGCTATTAAAATACCTACAGGAATAACATTATCAATGGCCCATGCCTCTGTACATCTCAGTGAACTCTAAGAAAGATTAGTATTACAGAATCTAACTCATTTTAACATACCCCTTACATGATGCGAAAACTTGAAAGAAACTCTTTAGATTTGACACCAGCAAATTCCATTTACAGCTCCCTTGCCTCTCAACATGGATAACGAGCTGAACCTCTGGAGTCAAAGTGCATAACAAGTTTGTAGCAACTATTCTCAGCCAAGAAGGATGTGAAACATTTTGCTACGGGACAAATTTCAGTAAATAAAGTGCAGTGTAAAGCTGGTAAATTACAGCAGACATAGTTGCTAATACATAGCTAATACAATAAGTATTCTTAGCTAACAACAATTTTGATTCCTTCATCAAAATGTACATAGCATTTTTAACCTTCAAAGGAATGTTTTGATAAGTGATGAGAGAGATTACAGCAGTAAAATCACAAAAGTTTCATGTTAAGAGGTAATGAAGTGAACCACAAGCAAATGTTGATGTTTGAATATGCATAAATACAGATACATATACTGAGAGAGATACAGGGAGAGCATTTGGAATATTTTACACCTTTTTATCTCTGAAGTGTCTGTACTGAAACCCAAGTTGGTGAAGTGACTTAATTAAGAATAGGACCATTGACTGGAAATATTAAGAACCAAGTTCATAACTTGTTATTTGTTTGGAAACACTGATAAAAATACAGTGACAACATTAGATATGGACCCAAATAATCACAGAACTATCCAGGGGTGAAGATGTATTTCATTCAACTGAGAATATTGACCTATTGCTTATTCCTATTCCTATACTAAAATATATTGTGTTTAGAAATGGAAGAAAAAAAATAGCTTGATGGCTGAGGGCTGGATCTATCTTTTTTAAGTATTTGGGACCTCAGCTACTCTCACTATCTATTTTTGATGGATAAATTTCATTCTGCATGTGGACACTGGGAATTACCAAATTGGTTTGGGTATTGGCAGGTTTGAGCAGGATCTGTGTGTCAAATTTGGTTCAGACTACACTCAGTCCAGAGAGAAATTTTGATGCTTTTATTCTATTCGGGGTATTTCAGTTTCTCCGCATTTAAGTGTTCTATAGAAAAATTATTTCTTATTTCTCTACTGAGTTTTAGAAAGATGGGCTTTGAGCTGAAACAATGTCATGTTACATCTCTCAGGTCCTGATCATTATGTTTGCACTTCAGTCTCCTGGTTCATAAAGCAGCATTGGGGAGGCTTGATACTGTCTATAGTTGCTTTGGGTTCTGTCAGAAAAAAATATTGGGAAATAAAAAAATAGTTACTGTAGTTCATGTAACTATTTTAGACTGAGGTGCTCTTACTTTGGGAAATCATGAAATTCCCTGAAATTTTTACTTCACTAGTAGTTGCTAAATTGCATTTTTGGACAATGGAACTTGGGATTCTGGTTCCAAAATTTGGCAACGTCCAGCTCTTATAGTCATCTAGTGTTTCCCCTTTGGCCAGGAAGTATTTCCTGTGTCTCTGTAGCCTGGTTTTATTAGGGGGAGGGGAGATAAAAGCCTTGCATATTCCCCCTAATCCTATCACACACTAAATCACCTCATTCATATTGACTCCACCAATGCTGCTTTCACCATTTCCTGAGTTACTTAGCAACGACCATCCCTCCCTTTTCCACTCCCCCATCCATCCTTTCATTTTTTTTCCCCCCTTTGCAACCACGATTTCCAGGCTGGTTAGAAAAATGAGGATGCTCAGCAGCATAGGGCAAGCTTTTCCTTCCAACCTCCCTTTTTATGCCTGCCAAATCCTTCTCGCCTCCAAAATGAAAATCCAGGCTGCCTGCATATGTGTAATCAAAGGTTAAAAAGCACCCTGGCTGACACCACGCATGTGTTAATCTGTGCTGCAGCAGAGTGCATCATTTCCACTTTGACCTCAGAGTTAATCTGCATTCAGGCAGAAGCTCCATTGCTTTATTCTCTCTTTTTTTTTTTCCCCCCTCTCATTTACTCTTTCTATTGCTTGATCGGATTTCATTGCATGTGTTTGAGTGGTTCTGTAAATGTCTGCATGTGTATGTGTTTCTTCTTTCCTGGACTGCTTTATTCTGTGAGTGTCTGTGATTTTGCTGTTTGGTTGTTGTGGGATTTTTTTTTTTTTCCCTTTTTTCCCAATTATATTATTCCCCTAGACTTGGAAGCTGCTGCCTGCTGCCTGAGCTGACGTTTTCTGATTATATCTGCAAGGGCTTGTGCAGATCTAATTTCTGTCTCCCTGCATATTAATTCCCGCAGCTGGGCGCAATGTATCATCCCACTGACGGGACCTGGTAGGGAGGGGGGCAGAACCACTACCAAAAAAAAAAATTAAAGAAGGGGACGGATCCATCTGCAACCAAGAGGAAAGGGGAAAAAAACTTGGTGGGGGGGGAGGGAGAGAAAAAGAGATGATTCCTTCAAATCCAACAAGCCTGGGGAGCACTGCATTCTTGAATCCTGCATTTTCACTCAAAATGATGGTGTGGGCACTTCTGTTCCTCTCTCTCATCCAGTGGTAAGATGTGCTTTCTGATTCTGTTGGGAGGGGTGGGGGGGAGAGGGAGGGCTGGGGGGTGAAGAATCTGTTTGCAAATTTGCAGAGCTGTGTGAGAATGCCGGAGGTTTGGATCGTGGCATTACATTCATCTATCTCCTAGCAGCTGAGATCTTACAATGTTTTATTTCTCTTACAATTGTTGTCGCTCTGAAATGGACAGGGAGGGTAAGCAGCGGGTGTGTATGATGGTGGTACATGCCGGGTGTCTCATAGAATTTGATGCCATATTACCGAAGCCTTTTATCTCTGATTTACTGTTTGCTACCATGCATGGAGTTACAATACAGCTGTGTTCTGAGGGTAGAATATCTGCA